ACAGCATGTGATTAACATCATTTACAACCTTATTAAACCATTCAGTGACCCTATGAAGCATTGTCATCCTGGAGGAGATCACTCCCATCAGGGATTGATTTGCAGTGACTCTTCTCTAAATGGCAAGAAACCCACTAGATCCCCTCACTGTTGGACACCACCGTCATCACCATCTTCAAGAAGGGGGATCGCTTTGTCTGCGGAAACAACTGCGACATCTCCCTCCTCAGCATCGCCGGGAAGATCTTTGCACGAGTTCTGCTAGACAGGCTCCTGACTGTCGCTGAGGAAGTTCTACCAGAGTCACAGTGCGGCTTCCGACCATCTCGTGGCACAACTGACATGATCTTCTGTGCCCGCCTGCTTCAGGAGAAGTCCCGTGAGCAATGACGACCGCTCTTTTTCATCTTCTGGGACCAAGAGAAGGCTTTCGACAGCATCCCAAGACCAGCTATGTGGGCAACCCTGAGACGCTTTGGCTGTCCCGACCACTTCACAGACCTTGTACAGGCCCTTCATGATGGGATGGCTGGTCGCGTCGTGGTGAAGAACATCATCTGTGATCCCTTCTCCATCACCACTGGTCTGAAGCAGGGCTGTGTTCTGGCCCCCACTCTCTTCTCCCTCTACCTTGGGGCTATGATCCACAAGCTTGCTGACACGGCCTCTGGCATCCAGCTTCGCTGCCGAATGGATGGAGGCCTCTTCAACACAGGATGCCTTTGCGCCCGCTGACTCACCACCCCAGTTACAGTACGGGAGCTGCAGTACGCTGACGACAATGCGACCCCTGTGGACACAGTCGACACCCTCCAAACTACTGTTGATGCCTTCGATGGTGTGTACTCCTGCTTCAGTCTCACCTCCAACACTGGGAAGACCAAGATCCTTGCGCAGGGAGCTCCGGGCCATCCCCCTCCAGACACCAGCAACGTACGTCTCCGCGGTGAAGTCCTTAAGAATGTGGAAGAGTTCCCCTACCTGGGAAGCTACCTTTCCAACGACTGCACTGCGCAGAAAGACATCGACAACAGGATTCGTGCTGCACATGCAGCTTTTGGGAGGCTCTCCAAACGTGTCTTCCTTAACCATGACCTCAACCTTCATACAAAAATCATGGTGTTCCGAGCCATTGTTCTCTCTACCCTCCTCTATGGCTCTGAGGTGTGAGTCCTGTACAGAAGTGACATTAAAAAGCTGGCGCATTTGCAACAGCAGAAGGTGAAATGGCAAGATCTCGTCCCAAATGAAACTGTCCGTCTCCGAGCCAACCTCCAAAGCATCGAGACTACGATGGTGCGACTTCACCTTCGCTGGGCAGGACACGTTAGGAGAATGCCCACAACTCGACTCCCCCGCCAGATCCTGTTCTCACAACTTGAACATGGCACAAGATCCCAAGGAGCACCTAAGCGACGATTTCGCGACCAACTGAAGGCCACTCTCCTTCGCTGCGACATTGACCATGCTAATTGGGAAACTCTGGCCAAAGACCGCACAGGGTGGAGGCAATGTATCACTCAGGGGACAAACCATATGGAAAACCTACGTCATTGCGAGGAGGAAGCAAGGAGACAGAGAGGTAAGGGTGGCTCCTCCAGCCGCGCTCTCCACCCACCCTGCCCTGCCCAAAATACCCTCGACACTTCCATACAGCTCTGGGCTTGGGCAGCCATATCAGAAAGTGCCACCCAAGAACAACTACAAGCTAACTGAGGACGAGTTGAAATTGTCTCGGATATAAGGCTCGGACACGAGCTACTGCCGATGAGGGGTCAAGTGCTTGGGTTTTTCCTTTAATTTGTCACCTGTTTGTATCTGTATGCATACTCTGTATCTAATAGCCATATGATGATGGTACATTTTTTGGTTCTGCTTTGTTGTCCTGGTTTCATGTGTATTTCCTCCTGAACATTGGTGTGTGCAAATAATGTTAAGAGATACTCATTAAAATACTTGCATGCATAAATGCAATTGTTTGAAAAAGATTTGAATCACTTCAACAAGGAAAGCAAAATATTCTTACTGCATTCTATGTTAAAGTATTCTTTAGGTAAAACAAAAAGTTCTCCTGATTCGTAAATGCACTTGTGCAGAGGAAGACTTCAGCTTTTATCCTCTGATCCAAAACAACAACCAACCACCTATTATTCGTTTAATATGGTCTAAAACTGTGCAGGGTTCACATCCTGCAGATGTAGATGTTTTCTGTCTCACACCTCATTTGGGACCCTGAGGGAAGTCTGACCTGACCAGTTCTGCAAAGCTGGAAATGAAACCGATCTGCTCCTACAGCTCAGAAAGGTTATATTTCAAATACACCTTTAACAGGTCACAACTAGCTCAGGGGCCTCTGCATTTTACATTTATTTGAGCAATGTGATCTTTCTCTCATATAAGGGGACAAGAAACCACTAAAGCAAACTAAAGCATAACAGAACCACTGGATATCCTCACTTAACACACAAGATATAGGGGTTTCCTTTAATTTGTCAGCCATCTTCATTAGTCATATTTATTATCAAACATGTCCATACATCCTTATCTTTATCTGCTCACATGTAAGCTTATTTCTGTCACAACTTTGCTAAAACTGTTTCAATTTCTGTGTTCTGTATGAAGATTGTCCTGTTGTATTTATACATTCTCACCACAAGGTGGAAGCATTTACTCTATAAGGACTATCTGGACTACAATCTGTTATTAAAGAGTCAGAGTTTTGCTGTTCCTGTCAAAAACACTGACAGTTACTGATTTTGTATCTGAACACACACAGGACTGTTATTAGAGAGCTTGGCTTTATTTTCTGAGATTCTCTCCTGCCTGCTTTGACAGCGTGTCCAGACAGAACACGCCTGATTGATTGATCCAGTAACTTGACACTATCTGTGCTAAAAGGATGAGGATGTGAAGATGAAAGTTAGTGACCCGTGACCTCCTCTGTTCTCAGGTCAACAGACACCCTCAGGCTGCGCTCTAATAGTTTTATGACCCTCGTAGCAAATTACAAACCGAAACTGCTCTTTGTTGTTCTCTCTCACTTTCACATGACTAAATTTTAACCCAAAAGTTATTTTAAGAAGTGAATCTCTTGCTTATTTATTTATCTATTTATTTATTTCAGACACACAGCTCTACCTAAAGCGCTGTGGATTCAGCAGATCAAAGTGTCAGATTAGAGCGCCCAGAAGGACGCTGAGCTGTGAGGAGGAGAAAACCGCCGCGTTATCTCTTTTCTCCAGGCTGCACGACCTGGCATAGTGCAACAACTTAAAGCCTTGCACCATTGTTCAGACCATGAGAGGCCTGTATCAGGTCTGGCATTCGTGTTTCCTTGACAATGCACCAGCCTGCAGGACATGCAAGAGATGGAACAGCAGGGGAGTAGTGGAGACTTACATTTGGTAAAAAAATAAATAAAAAAAATAAAAAATAAATACAAATTTTCTTTGCATTCAAGTTGCTTCAAGTCTGCTGCAGAAGATGACAGCTGCATGAAGATTTAAAAAAAGCTGAAGTGGATAAATGTTGGTGGAGATGCAGGTTTTATTTCATGAATGTGAACTATAAGAGGCCTGTATCAGCCCAACAAGCAGGGAACATTGCCACAACATTGGCTAACATTAGCTACAAGTTCTAATAATGTCTGAAAGGAAGCTTTTTAATCTAATGTTCAAGGAAGAGAATAACTATATTGATAATTTTAAATTGTGACCCTATAAGGTGACAAGTTAACCAGAAAATAATGTTTTAATTGAAACATTTAAATGATGTTTGGAGGATGTTGTCAGACTATGTTCTCAAACATTCTCAAATCAACATTCTAATAATGTTTTTAAAGTTGTAAAATGTTCCTATTAATGTGATATAATGACAAAAGGTAGAACTTTTTTGCCTGTAATGTTTTGAGGATGTTTTGGGGATGTTGTTGAAGAACTTTCTTACATAGAGCATTCTCACAGCGTTACATGATAAATTAAGGAGGGACGTTCTCAGTGCAAAATTTTAAAAATGTTTTCAAGTTGTTATGAGGCCTCAGATGACAGATTTATATATATATTTTAAAAATGTTCTAGTAATCAGATATAATACCAAAAAGTAGCATTTTTCCTGTAATATTTTGAGAATGTTTTGGAGCTGTTGTTATGGGAACACATTATAACACATTCTTCAATAGCGTTACATTAGAAATGAAGGATGCTCTCAATGCAACATTCAGAAAATGTTTTCAAGGTGTTGTGGAAGCCTCAGATAACAAAACGTCATTTTTTTAAATAAAATGTTCTTGTAACATGAACAACGAACAAACAGTAGGTCATTTTGCCTGCAACATTCGAGCATTTAAGTGAGGGACCATGTAGAAAACATTCACATGCCTTCATCGAACTTTATCGTTACTTTCAGAAGAATATTCCTAGAACTAAAAAATAACTTCCCACTGAAACCATTACTAGAAAATTGTAGAACTTTCTCAGAAACACAAAAAAGTAGCTGGAAGGCCTGACATCTGTGTTTCCTTGACAGTGCATCATCCTGCAGCAGATGTACCAGCAGGAAATCATGGAGAGGAAAAGCTTACATTCATGTTTTTTGGGGGTATAAAAACAAATATAATCCATGTGAGTTGATGAAATAAGGAGGGAATATTTCTTCCTTTCTAGATGTTTCCAGGAGCCTCTCACTCACTGTATCACATTTAAGTGTGGTGTGGTTTGAGGAGAGAATCATTATGGCAGAAAGAGGGAAAAAACACACACATAAGCACGTTTTAATCCAAAACCTGCCACGCAATAAAATGACATAACCTCCCATAATTTTATCGGGGAGACTTTTTTTTTTTTTTAGGGAGGGGGTGAAATGCATGCAGGCATGTATGTATGAATGCACTTGTGTGTGTGTGAATGTGTGTGTGGCTGCACTGGTTGTAAATTGATCCCTCCTACTCTCGCTGGTGAGGAGGGGCGAGGAGGAGGAGGAAGAGGAGGAGGAGGGAGTTGAAGCAGGAAGGAAGGCAGGCAAGAGAGGGAAGGGAGGGAGGCTGTGAATGCTAACAAGCCCCGTCGTACGGCTCCGTAGGTAGGGGTTTTCGGTGAAGAAACATCTTGCAATGGAGAGGAACGACGACCACTATTAGAAAAAAACAAAACAAAAACACAGTCCTACTATGCGCCACAGCCGCGTCCGCCCTGTGCGCCCGCAGCAGCAGCAGCAGCAGCAGCAGCAGCAGCACCGTCGTCGGCACGTCTGAACAGAAAAACCGTCGTTTTCCGCTCAGTGAAATGTATCGCGACTGCCTTGGATTCACATTCTGACAATGGAGATTGAAAATATCGTGGCCAACACGGTTCTCCTGAAGGCGAGGGAAGGTAAGTTGAGCGTAAAGATGACATTCAATTGTGTGTGTGTTTTTTCTTCTTCTTCTTCTTCTCACCAACGCGGCCACGGACAGAGCCTGATCCTTTCCTGAGCCTCCTTGGGATTTTTTTTTTTCTTACTCCCATCTCCCCTGCGCAGTGCTTTGTCTCCGGGCAAACATATTCCGTAGAAATCAGCTGTTTGGACACCGACGACGCACGTATTTAAACCGGGGAAGGAGGAGGAGGAGGAGGAGGAGGGGGGTGGCAGGTTAACGCAAGGCCCAGGGAGGCTGGAGATGGTGGTGGGAAACAACGCAGGGAGTGTTTGCAGCATCGCCTGCTTAGACGGCAGCGTTGCATTGCACATTTTCACACCAGTAGGGCTGTTTTTTTTTGTGAGTGTGTGTACGATTTACGATGACATAACGGATATTTAATGGTATTGACGGTGTTGGAGCAGGAAAAAAATGTAGCTGCGCAGTGGGGCTCTGCGCCTTCTTACCTGTCATCGTAGGTTTGTTTTTGAAGCCTAATTGGGGAAGGTAAAAGAAGTGAGGTGGGTTTTTTTTTTTTGACGCAGGAGTGTTTCAGCTGCATTGCTGTTTGGATGTTGGATAGTGTTTGGATACAAGCAGGGAGGGAGGCCATGGAAGCAGCCCAGGCCGGTGATCCCGCAGCAGCAGCAGCAGCACCAGCAGCTCCTCACCTGGAGGTGGAAAAGAGGCGAGCATCTGTTTTCCAGAAGATGGCAGAGCAGAGAGGCTACTTTTGCAGCCAGTGAGTGGGCGCAGGGTGGGTGTGCAACACGGTATCAGCAGCCAGAGGAGGGGAGGAGGGGGGGAAAAAGGTGTAATTACTGCTCAATGATTTCCACTTTTTTTCCCCTCCTTTCTTTCTTGCAGAAGCTTCTCTTGGTGCAAGTTGATCCATTTTTTTTCCTTTTTTTTTTTTTTTTGCTCCGGGGTCGTGGCGCACGCAGAAGGCCTGTTCCTCCTCCTGCTTATGGTTTACATTATATTCAGAATGCGTCTTAGTTCGAGACTAACACTGCTGTGAAATGGATTATTCACAGCAGCGGTGAATCCATTTCATAGCAGCCAGCAGTTGCTCCTTATGAGGCGTCAGGCTCTCCTTTTTTTCCCCCTGCCATTAAATGGAGCTGAATCTACAGGCTCCTCACCTGTCCATCTACCTGGATTTAAAAAATAAAATCAAATAAAAAATCACCAGAGGCTCCCATCAGTGAGAGATGTGGGTGTATGAAGCACATAACGGAGTGGAAAAAGGCTCACAACGATCTGCTTAATTACAGTTTGGCTGAAATATTTAGGATTCAGGATCACTTTATTTGTCCCAGGGGAGATTTGCATTGATTATCTGGTTAATCATTGGCCAGACAATTGATTGTGTCAGTTTATTGAGTCTAAAATACCAACTAGTTGCTCCTTATTGCTTTGCAGTTTGGATTCAGTAGGGGGGGAAAAAATGCTCCGTGTACAGTCATATTTCTCTCTACTATATCATCCATTTACTGTGTTAATTATCACACAGATTTAAACAGCTAATGGTTCCTAGTTTATCCAGTTAAGGTGCACAGGGGACTAATTGGATTTAAATCATCCTTTCAGAGTTGGGAGCTGGAACAGTTGTCAACAATTGACTTAAAACAGACAGAAAACAGCTTCAGATGCCTCTCTTTGGTCATCTTCCTTGCGTGGAGATCCTGCAGGAGGAGTTTGGTTGAAGCTTTTGCAACAGTTTCCCCCCCTTGATCCCTGTATCTCTCTTGTGGAGGAGAAACTGTTTGAGGTTGTGCTCACACACATAGGTATTGTCCACAGTTTTACAGGTCTAGCAAACTGTTGAGTCTGACTTCTTTACAGTTATCTTTCACACACCTGTGTTCACATGTGAAACTGGGTGGCCACGGTGCGAACTGTTATGACAGGGTGTGCCCAGTCTGCCACAGTTGAAATGACACACGTCAAAGGAAGTGGTTAGAGATGACACTGCTCCCCGCCCCCACCTCTGTCAACTTCACGCATATGTTTTGGTATAAAATGTAGAAGCAGAAAAGTGCATCATTTACAGTTTTCTTTTAGGTTTTTCCTTTTCCTTCATGTTGCTCAAAACTGCAGAAAGTGACAGTTGCATGAGGCGACGGTCCTCTGAGGTCACGGGAACTTATTGCAAAAGCACCAAAAGTTTGGAAATTGTGATTGTGAGAAGACCAAGAGGATGCCACCCACAGTTTTGTGGATTTTAACCGCTCGGGCAAAGCACCCAAGAATTATTTTCAACATAGCACCACACTTCCACTCAGTATAACAGCAGGAGTATCTCATCACTGATTGTGTCACACGATTAACACATATTTTTTGCGTATGTTGGTTGATATTCACGGAAAATTCGTGCAACGTGGTTTGGTTAAAAGCACTTGAAATCATTTAGAAACACTGTTATCATAGTTTGTCCTGCAGACTTCACTGTTTACAAGACTTTGCAGCACCTGACTTGGCCGATCATAGCGGAGCAGATGGCGGCGTGAAGTGTGTTGAGAAAAATTCTGTTTACTCTTCAGCTGTAACATATCTTGTCCCCCCCATTACATTTATTTGTCAGAGGGCTTTATCAACCAAATTGCACATAGAATGATGGTTTATGAAAAAGAAAGAAACAATTTTGAAATTACATTGATTTGTTGCTATTAGCGAAACATTACAGTTGCTTTTAAATTAGGAAATTATGGAGCAAAATGGAAACTTCATGAGATGTATCATCCACTTGCAGACCTGGAAAAGAGGTGCTCACCCTGATATCAAAAATGTTACTGTAAATGGTTTAAAAACTGCTAAATTTGCAAAAGGCTTCAAGAAAAATCTTTATCTAGGCTATAATGCTCATAGAAAATGTACTATATAATATTTTAACAATGTTTTTCTAGAACTACCATTGGCCTTTGTTGACAATGTGTTTGCATCATATGGTCATAATAGAAACTATGGGGCACATGAGAGTACAACAAAGCTGAGGATCATGGGTGTTGTAGTTTTTTGGGAAGCTACTAATTCAAGAAACCAATTTCTGTCACTTAATTATTGCTTGAATAGGTGCAAGATAAGAATCTAATTTGCTGGTTTAGACCAACCTTTTAAGTTGCAAACATTGTTTTGATGAGTTGGATTGACTTAATGTTGCCTCAACTTAATGTCTTGTGTAATTTCAACTCTAATTCCTGTGTTAGTTGATATAAAACAAAATTTGAGTCGAGGTAACTAAATTAAATGGGCTTGATAAACAATTTTTTTCTTCACCTTGAGTTCAGGATTTGAAGTCCTCCTCTTTCTCTTAACATACCTAGACAATTTCAGACTTCTGACTCGTAATTAAAAATATATTTGATTGTAGAGGAATAGCTGGTTCCACAAACTCAAATTAGTTTGTTGGTTGAACATAATTTTATTAGAAACTGTCATAACTGATAAAAGACTGATGAAAAGTGTTGCATTATTTCTTTTTTTCTTGAGTCCAAATACTCAAGAAAACTTGGTAGAACTTAAATTGTCACAGTTAGCGATTTCTAATAATTGTATATTAAATTTGCAGTTTATCGCCTCTGCTGTTATTTAAGTTAGCGATTGTCTACATTTCCCAGATTGCCCTTTGGAGAGCTGGTGTTTACTTGTTGCATTCAGCTGTGAGTTATAAATATAGTAGGTGTAAAGAGCTGGCATGGATGGAGAAAGAGAGAGAAGTCTCTCCCCAGTTAAGAAAAAGTTAGTTGTACCGCTTTAGTTAAAATGCATTCTGGTTTATTGTAGTTTATTATTATTTTTTAATGACCTGGGTTTTGTTTCTGTTTGTCAAATGGCAGATCTTAGGTGCTTGTGCCAAAACCTGTTAACTGCAAATGTTCTTCTAATTTAAAAAACAAAGTCAGCAATTAGAATTAAGTGTAAATGGTAAAGCAGCGAGAGAAGTTGTGTACATTTGGTCATTTAAGTTATATACAGTTTACTTGTATAACACTACTACAGAAGTGCTATATTCAGAAAGGGAAAAAAACAATTAATTCAGTAAAATGGCCTTTTATTTAGTGCAATAAACTGGTACACTGCCACTGTGCAGCTGTCACTGACTTTGTTCTCAGCTTTTCAGGACCTCATTAGGTGAAAGTCTGTTTTTTTTAAACATTACTAACGCACCCATATGATGTTTTTTATATGCTTAAAGACATAAAGTCGATGTCATGGCTGAACATTTCCACCTTGAAACTGTGGTGCACCAGTGATTCTCGAAAACGTCAGACTTCCATGGTTTCATATGTAACAAATCTAAGGAACTAATCCTTCAGCCCGCAGAGTGTCACTTTCTGTATCATTGTTCTTCTTCAGAATTAGTTTCAGTCGAATCACTCCAATATTACAGTTTGTCTTTGTGTAGCGTCGAGTAGTTTTACAGATGAGCTGGTGTGCCTGAGCTGCAGCAAGTAGCGGAGCGTAGCGGTGTATGGATAGGTCTTGGCCATTTTAAGGCAGAAAAGGATTAGCTTCATGGAAAATACTTGATGCTGAGTTTTTTTAAGGGTAAAATCAATGACCGAAGAGAGACTTTCAGATTCAAGCTTTGGAAGTGAAATATGTTGCTGCTGGGAAGCAATCAAACTGTTCAAAGAGCAGAAAGAAATAGGATTAAATCATGCAGCTGACTTACTACTCTTTAATACAGACTTGTTTTCACTGGGGACATGAACATATGTTCACCAGGCATTACAGTTTCATGCTTTTTTTTAAATTATTTTTTTAAATATTCAAATCTGAAGAGTGACTGAGCAGAGAAGGTATTTTGCTCAAATGGTATCAGTAAGATCTTTATCTGCTGTGATTATTTCATCATTCCTACTGTCTTTATAAAAAGAAAGGAATGTGGACAGTCCAGTGCTCGCGTTCCTTGAACACACATAAGCTTTTATTTTTTTATTAAATTTTTTTATTTTTTTTAGTAAAAGA